CTGCTCGGCGTACTCTTCAGTATTGATCTCCTGCAATAATATGGCTTGTTTTTAGCCAATAAGCTCTTTTAATTTTACTTTTATTGCTGATAAGTGAGCCAGATCAACCTGCGTTTATCAACCAACATTTCATAACTTCAACTTGATCTTGCTCAGGACGATCAGGACCTCTCTTAGCCTCCTCCTGGATACTTGGGATTGTTTTCAGTCAACATGCTTCTTTAATATGCTATAAGTCAATCACAAGAGATTTAAGACATCCAACAAAACGTACACGAGTACACGAGTACGAAAACCTCCAGATGAACTCGAAAAAGGCCTTGGAACAGAGCCAAGTGGTGCTCCGTTTGTTTGTTTACAATAATAGTAGTACTGATGTATTGTTTTAGGACTCTAACGTTCGGCTTATAAAAATTGAAACATTTTTACAAAATCTGTAAGGCAAGTAATATTTCTCTGAAAGAACTAAAATATTCAAAAGCCAAACACTATGAAATACAGGAATCGGAGCGAAAAAGTAACCCAAAAAACCAGCCTAATCACCGACTCCTAAAACTGCGACAAAATCAGCACTTTTCCCCGCAACTCGTTGTCCAGACGTAAATATGCGCCCAAACATTGCGCTTTCAATTGCTTCCAAATCATATAATTTCCCGTTCTTGAGACTTTTCTTCGTATTTGAAGAAAATCCTTCAGATATACAAAAAACGTCGCCAGAAATAGCGATTATCATTGATAATTCTCAACTATTATCTCTCAAGTCTCAAGATTTGGCAGCCGAAGAAAACAAAGGGCTCGACAAAAACACCACTTTCTCCGACTGCCAATAAGAGCGATATTTGGTTATGAACTGGTAGGAAAACAAACCTAATAGGCACAGAGCTGCTTCTGACCGGATCAGACCAGCTCTGACTAGGGAGAAAGTGGAGAAATGGAAGAAAACTGTGATCACTAAATTGTTATTCGTGCTGTTGCTACTTGCTAGTCTATGACAGAGGTGCATGATTGTATCTGAACAAAACAATGTTGACTTTGCTCATCTAAGAATGTCTTCCGTGATTTTCTTCTTTTGGTGCTTTTCGCTCGTATATTTTTCTCTGACTAGGGTCAGATGGTCAGAGATTTTGTCGACCTCTGCGCGATTCCGGCCAAACATGGTCTCGAAAAAGAGGTCACAGGTCAAAGGTCATTTGGGTCAGGGTCATGAAATTTTGATGGTAGGTGTAAAATTGATCAATGCGAGGGTACTGAAAGTTTCGTCGCGATCAGCCGCTTTTTACGCGAGTTATTCGCGAAAAAACGAGGCGTGGGGGGGGGGGGTCCGTTCGACCCCGCCCCTATACGGGCGAGGGTTGAGGGACAAGTTAAGTCAGTCCGTACCAATCTAGCTGAAGAAAATCGATTTTATTGCAACCGATAACAACACTGTCAGCTGTGTCACGTGACATGTCAACCAACGAGCCAATCAGCGACCCGGAATAAGCCCACGTGTGGGGTCAGCGACATGCCTCATATCGCCCAGGCGCCCGGCCGCCCTCGTGCCTCGGTGTGCACGGGCATAAACGTGTCCGACAAAAATGGTTATAATTATGAAGATCGCGGGTATTAGCAGCTACATTTTATCGCAACTTGTAGATAAACACTCATTTTAAAGGGACCCTCCCACCTTAACATTAGATTTGAGTTGAGATAGCCAAAATGGGGTCCCTGGCTCACAATTACCGGTTTCGGCACTCACAACATCGAGAAATGCCTTAGATCAGAAATATTGAATTTCAAAATTGCAGCATTTTGATTCAGAGGGGCTAATGCTTAGGAATACCCCTCTGAATGTGTGACGTCAGCGCAGATATCTAATGATTTTTAAATGTTTGACTAAAACGTTTTGTAGCACGCGGTGGTATATGCTATTTGCGCGCAACATCTGCCGCAAACGCCGCACTTCTAAAATGAAGTCGCTAGAAACAGCGGAGATCCCAAAAAAGTAAACAAAAGTAAAAGTCTAATATCTTGAAAACCGGTGAATATTTTTCGGTGAAATTTGGTAGATATTCGTTTTCGCTCTTTCTGAACCGAGCGACATCACTTTCATGCCAATTCATAAACTTTTTTGAAGGTGGGAGGGTCCCTTTAACTAAGCCAAAGAACTACGTCGCGGAAATCGGCGGAAATTATAACTTTAGGGTTCTTTGAAAATAAAAATTTGATTTTCTGAAGCCTTGTTCGTAGCGTCTCACAAAAAGGCATGTAGATATTGTGCAGGGGAGTTGTGGGAAGTGAAATACCTGTCTCTGCGTTGACTATGTCCTTGTTCATCGTAAAACTTCAGAAAATAGGCTTACCGCCGGGCAGTTTCTGTTTGATAAAGCAACGAACACAGCGCATTGAGCATAGCATATTGACCACCATGTGATGGATGGTAAACATTGTCGAATGTTTCGCTCACGGCTCATTTTAGCGTTGATGGCATTATGCCAGCAAGCTTATTTGAGTATTTTTGAATGCCCCAGGTATTTCTTAGTTTAAACGCATCGTTGTTGTATGTTGTTGTCGGAGGTCACCAAAATGATTTTTGTCGCGCTAAATGCGGCCGCCCGCCTATCGTGCGTTGGCCGCCCCAAAAGGCGTTTTACCAACTGGGGCTAACCAATTTAAAATTACTAGTGGCATTCATCTTCCATATAAGCACATTTACTGCGCTGTATTTACAATTACTGGCGCTAGCGCATGTGACACACACTCCGCACCGCTTCGTTCGTTGGTTTTGCGGCCTGGGGGGGTTTTGCGGTGGTTAGTGCTTGAATGAATTGGTGTTTTTATTTTTATGCCGTCGGTAGTGTAAAATGTAGACTCAATATTCATTCAAGAATAATAGTGCTTAGTAATCTCTTACTCTGGTGTACGGGTAAGCCTCTAGTAGGTACTTGTATTCATGTAAAGTCTGCCGATTCCTGTTTTTCACACTTCAACATATTGATATGAAATATATTTAAAGGGACCCTCCCACCTTAACATTAGTTTTGAGTTGAGATAGCCAAATTGGTGGCCATGGCCTGAAAATACCGGTTTGGGCACTCACAACATCGAAAAATGCTTTAATTCGGAGATCAGTAGGCGGAACTATGGTCAAGCGTGCCCATTTTCGGGAACGCATTTTCGTTCCCATGTTTGGGAACGATAAACCCAAATATGGGAACGCCATGTAGGCATTATTTAAAACAAGAAAAAGAACCGTTAAATGACGTCCAAAAAATATAAAACGATCGTGAACCGCCTGATATTTGTCTCAATATTGTTGGGAAAGAGTTTGATATTGTAAGGCCCATCGTAGTTTCAAATCGTTCCCCTATTTCTAAAGCAGTCCATCATCCGGGCCGCGAGCCCAAATTTGGGAACGCTCTCGTACACTGGCGCTGCAAGCGTTCCTTATTATGGGAACGGCGTACCCAAAATTGGGAACGATTTCACCGACGCCTTTCAGGGGCTCTTTTCATTAACAAGCATCACGTCCAACGCCGCAAATTATTGTTAACGCAACAATCATCAGATGACCTTTCCGGCAAGACCGTCGCATGTTTCGCCCGGTCTTCTGCGCTTTTATTCCCGTCGATCTCGCAGCGGGCACGCCCCCCTCTGCAGGATTACGTAATTCACAACGCTCAGCGATGTTCAACAAGGTCCTCCATACCTATATCCACCGTCCGCGCCGAGGGTGGAGACATGTCAAGCACCTGTCTGTTTATCACCGATAGTTGACGAGCACAAGGAAGTATCCAAAAATGGGAACGCTGAATATGCTACACCCTCAAAACACCTAGTCCCAATGAAAATCTAGTTTTTTCCTTTCTTGATGAGTGTAAGTGGCAAAAGGCCTGGTAGGATGGGCACGAGGAATGATCGAAATCAGCATAAAAATTATAAATAAGCCACACAGAGCGACCTATATAAGAGAAATTCCCCCAAAACGATCACGCTTAGAAACACGGAAGACAAAAACCACGCTCATGACGCTCCTTATAAAACAACTCTAAACAGCTAGCATCCAAATAAAAGATGTCTTTCTGGGACGATAAAATACAGCTGAATAATTTTAAACCACTGAAACTGAGTTTACAACAGTAGTTCGGTAAAATCACTGACGTTCCATGCGGTCGTGCGCCCCGACACCAAATGTCACCAATATTACCCCCGGACTGTCCGCGTGTTCGCTTGCATATGTCAGCATCTGGTGTCGCTAGTATGAAACTTCATAACCAGGCGAAAATTATTATACTTGACCTCAAAATGTAAAAAACGCTTCATTCTCCTTAAAATTGCAAGTTAAATGTAGTTTAACCCATGTTTTCACCATTCCGTCATTTCAAAAAATCATTAAAAATATCATTCGACGGTCAATTTCCTTGTGCAACGGTCAGATTGAAGATAATTTTATAGAGACTTAGAAGGTACTTAAGGCGGCGTTCGATGTCTCCCGGACGGCAAAGATTCTTTGCCGTCCGGCCAATAACGTCCAAGGTCAGCGGGGGCTCGGCTGCGGTTATGAAACGTGATTGGCCGGACGGCGTAGAATCTTCGCCGTCCGAGAGACATCGAACGCGGGGTTAATTAGCGTGCGCTTTTTTGAGACGTGATGCACTTGACGTGAGTTTTAGTGGGCGAACGGCCGAAAAATTACCTTCCGTTCCCATAAATGGGAACGCCCGTTCCCATATTTGGGAACTCCGTTCCCAAAAATGGGAACGTTCCTATATTTGGGTACTCATGACCATAGTTCCACCTACTGAGATATGGAATTTCAAACTTGCAGTTTTCGGATTCTAAGGGGCTAGTGCATTGGAATGCCCCCTTAGAATTTGTGACGTCAGCGGAGATCTAACAATTTTTTAATCTTTTACTAAAACGTTTGGTAGCACGCGGTGGTATATGCTGCTTTGCGCGCAACAAATGCCGCACTTTCAAATAAAGTCGCCAGGAACAGCGGAGATCCCAAACAGTAAACAAAAGTAAAAGTCTAATATCTTGAAAACCGGTGAATATTTTTCGATGAAATTTGGTAGATATTCGTTTTCACTCTTTCTGAACCGAGCGACATCACTTTCATGCCAGTTCATTAACTTTTTTGAAGGTGGGAGGGTCCCTTTAAGTCACATTTTCTTGTGTATGCGATTTTGTTAATGAGCTTACATGTACAGTCCTCAGCAGACTGCGTGGTAGGTATTCTTTTTTCGACAAAACCAGTAATAACTCAAAGACTACGTTGTCAGTCGGTCGGAACTCACTGAAAATAGAGGCGCCATGCTCTACTCCTTCGATTGGGTATATCACTAAACAAAGTATATGCCTTGTGTGGCAACAAAATGCAAAAGTTTGTTTTGGGGGCAAATATAAACTTTTGGGTTTTGTTGCCAAACTGGGTGGAAAATGAATGCGATGGTAATGCCAATCTAAGGTGCGGAGTCTCGCGCATCTTGCTGTATATGATTTCCGAGCTACCGATAGCATAGTATCCGCGCTATTCTCGGTTTTGTCGAAGAAAGAATACCTACCACGCAGTTTGCAGAGGGCTGTACTTGAATATTGTCTTACAGGTTCTCAATATATGTCAAGAAGAAGCGTGCTAAGCCAAGAAATAAGAACATAGGTACATACCTAGTTTCGGTTTGACTTTCAAGTGAAGTCAAAGCAGGCAGTGCACCACATCTGTACTTCAAGCTTGACCTGCATTGTGTCAGTGGTCATGAAGAAAAAAGCAAAGGTACCTATGCACCGACATATCTACATGTCAAATAGTTCTGTTAATTATGATTCACAACCAACTGACATTTCTTGAATACAGTATCTTTATCAACATGAGCATGTAGTTGCCTGAATTAGCGAACACTATATGTTACCTACCTACAAATCAGAGCATTTTTTTTCTAAACCCCACCTCTGTTCTCTCATAAATTTCCAGGAAGCACAAAATATCCCTCTTAAAACATGCCCAATCAGATCCTATCAAATATGTGTGTCGTTAGGCTTGTTCTGGCATTGCTTGATCTGACAAGACAGACAAACTTGAGAAATGTTGAGGGACTGTACCTAACCTACCATTTTTGAAAGCTTCTATCCAACTTGTTGGAAATTCATGAGAGAACAGTTGTAGGGTTTAGAAAAAATTGTTGATATTGCCTTCCTACCATGACCATGCTAAATGCATTTGTCCTGTGTGATAGGTACCTATTGAACTTCTTAGGAAAGAAAAAGGGAAGTGGTAACTGGTGAAGTAGTGGTATATGACTATATAATATTTAGCTTATGAAAATCATCTTTGGTAAATAGCTATTTGCATAATCCCTACCAGATACCTGCTTACATATTGAACATTTGACACTGGTGGCACTAATATAACATGGTGTCACTGTTATGTTTTTCTGCAAGGATATTGCCACATTGAATATTAGATAACAGGTATGTGCTTGTTTTCAGGCCACTGAGGAAAGCATTAGCAGGAGTGAAGAGATGGAGTTGGTGCAAGATGATCACGATTTCATATGTCGCGTGCTCTCCTACTTGCCTGCTGAACTGAAGCAGGGCTATGGCGGCGACGACTCTGAGGAGTCTGAAGCTGGTGAGGAGCAGTGTCCCATTTGATGCTTCAAATTGCCAAGTCAATAGCATTTTGTCTCATATATGATGCATGATTTGGTGCTGGATACTCAAGCTGTTCAATATGATCATTAAATGGAGTCTGCGAATCTTTATATGATCTATTGCCTTCATTTGAGTATGCTTTCCTTGTGTGACCTGCATAACAAACTAGCATTAAGATCAACTCATCTTCCAGAACTGTGAGATAAATTAATTTTCAAATTTATTTATGCTCATAGTAGATACACATCTCAAGTGCACAGCTGGAAACTTTTTCTTGCTTGATTACCCATCTCCTGTTAATTTTGTGAGATTTTTATCAAAGGTATATTTTCTTTCGTTGGTAGCGAGGTTTCTGACCGATGATCGGGTGGTCAACTCAGATCAGATATTCAGATCTGAGATGGTAAGGATTTCATGCTTGTTTGCATAGGTATCAATTTTTGCTGAACTGGGTGTGCCCGAGCTTCCCCAATTCCGTCAGCTTGGCTCTAAGGGCGGCAACAGACGGCGAGAGTTCAGGTCGCTGCTAGGGTGGTGGTGGATTTGTACAGCCCTGGTTCCCCCAACTGGCACACTGGCGCAACTAACCCCCAATCGTTTGTCTCAGAAAACGATCTGCCGAACACTCGAGAGGAGCGACAGGCGGTGTTACGAGAGAAGCTGCACGCCAAGCTACAAACATTGCGCGGTAAGTGCTGTCCTTGCTCCTACCAAACTCTTTTTTGGCACGATTGTTACACTTTTTCAGTTTTTTTTTTTTTAAGTCGTAGGGATTGAGGAACTTTGGCATTAAGGGTTCTTGATATCCAAAACTTAGTCGACTAAATGAATGACGCGTGAAAACGTGGACAGTCGATTAATATATTCGTTTGTTATCTGATATTCGATTGCTATAGAACAATATGGGCGCCGACGACTTGACAGTCCCGGTGCCCAAATCAATTGTTAGGTATTTGTATTCATTATAATTAGCTGTCGGTATTTTTTATGGATAGTGATCCCTTGGGCGCAAAATGACCTTGTAGTCGGCGCGCCCTTAAGCCCCAATAAACAAACAAGGATAGTGATCCTACTTTAACCCACTATCAAATACGTCATTGTGGAATAACTGGGGATGGCTTATAATGATCCGCTGTGTTTCCAGCGAGAAGTGGAAGTTTGAGGGCCCAGAAAAATATCCGCAAGCGGTTAAACAAGATGGAGAAAAAGAAGCAAAAACAGAAACAGCAGGGCAAAGGTGGAGCGATAAACTCCAAAATCAACGCCGTGAAGACAGCCAAGAAACAAAAAATGATTGAACGTCGGTCACAAGGTGTACTTCCTGCCGAAAGCGTAAAATCGAAGCCAGTTTTCACCGCCGAAGGCAAACTTGTCTTTAGTAAATTCGATTTCGCTTCAGCTGAATCGCCAGAGAAGCCCAAGGCTAAAAAGGCAAGTCTGAAGGCAGAGTTGCACAAAGCCCGTGAGAAACAGCAGAAGAAACAGAAGGGCTCGGGAGAAGCGGAAAAAGAAGCTTGGGAAACGGCGATGAAAAAAGCCACAGGAGAGAAAATTCGGGACGATCCGAAGCTCATTAAGAAGACCATGCGTAGACAACAGCAGAAGAAGAAACAGAGCAAGAAGAAATGGGATGAAAGGGTTCAGAATGAGAAAAAGAAGAAGGAAGAGCGGCAAAACAAGAGGCTGGGTAACATCCAGGAAAGGAGAGATCAGAAGAAAAAGAAGATAGTAAACAAACTTAAGAAGAAGGGAAGGATTCTTCCTGGTTTCTAATGGGAACGTGAACTGTGATTTGCGCGCGCGGTGACTGTCTCGTATTTTGTATTATTCCTTTTTGTGAAACTTCGTCTCAACATGTGAATGTTGTACAGGAGCGCGATCCATCGTACATGAGCGATTCGACGTAGCTGAAAAGGATTCACCTCACTCAAGTGCGCTCCTCACATTGCATTGATTCATCTGAATGCACTGGCGACTGCAGGTGTGAGTGGTTGTTTATTTGCTTCCTTTTCAGGAGGTGCGTGTTCAAAGGGAATAAAGCAGGGGACATGCGACTGTCGGTATTTGGCGCATGGGTCTGCTCTCTGCGGTCTGCACAGGTTTATGTACTACGTCAGACGGTTTCACGCATACAGATCGCTCCCTTTTTTAGCGGACGGCAGTTGAACATCCTCTGCCCACTATCCTGTTCACTTTGCAGGTCATGGGAAACCAGCTAGTGAGCGCGATCGGGCTGATACCGAACTCAGACAGCTGCAGTCCAAACGTTTGGCCACTACACGCGCCTTAGAGCACGTTATTGGACTCCTCGTGTCTGCTCGCAGGAGTTCCGCATGAATAGCAATCGCTGGCAGATCCCAGCTCAATATCCTGAGTTTATCGGAAAACTCACACAGTCCACAAATCATTTCTTTGGCGTTGAGCTGAGTTGGCCGACCAATTACCGAATTCTGGGGGAAACATTGCCGAATGCCCTTATTACTTAAAGGGACTATCCCACCTTCTAAAATGTTGTTAAAACCAGTTAAATTGTGCCCGACTTTATAGATTGGATGACCAGGAACACGGTTCTGGCATTTATTTTTCATTAAACATCTTAGGCTTCCCATATTCCAAACACAAACTTTCAAATATGTGACGTCACAGCTCAAAATTACCTCCTTCCCCAGGCCACATTACTGTCATAAAGCTGATTCTTTTTATTCTGTAGGCACCACAACAAAGTTCAGACCAAGTTTTAAGCGATTTTTGAACGAACAAACCCATTTAAATCAGAATGACTAAACGAGGTGACGTCACACTAACGGTCGCTCCATGTTGAAGATAGATATCAAATGAAGGGAACGAATTTCTTCAACACCAAGAGGCCGCGGGGGTTGCAACCTAGATAGATAGTGGTTTCTGAACCTCGCCGCAAACTTGGCTATCTCAACTCAAACCCCATGTTCAAGGTGGGATAGTCCCTTTAAGCACGATGCTGGCTTACAACTGAAACAAACCGCAACCCAGGTTAGAGACCGCCAAAATAGAACACCTACTACCTAGAGTATAGGCCACGACATGGCAGTTCGAAAAAGATAAATTATAAAATACAACGAAGCCTGTATTTAACCAAATACATTGTATGTGAAGCTATATTCATAAGACTTGGTCAAGCTGCGTATCGAACATATTAAATTGTGGCAATACAAAAACAGAACATGCGATCGAAGCGCACACAGACACAAGCGCACAGTTTGCGCTGGAATGAGATTCGACGCGCCGACCGCTCGGGCTTTCAGCACGGACAGCTGCTCACAAACGCGCCTGAACACGATCACACGGCAGTGCCGGGGCAGTATGGCGCGGTTCACGCCAGCGTGCATACGCGCGATAGAGAGCTTAGCGGGCGGTGGTCATCGCGAGCCGCCACGGGCGGAAGCTGCCCACGCACAGACAGGGACAACGACCTTCAGTTCGGGTCCCGATAGCAGCACGGGAAAGATCACTGAAACGGAACGGTTCACCACACTGGCAGAGCAAACTGAGTTGGTCCGACACCGATACTGCTGCAGAATTATCACACGACCTTGACTAGATCGAAACTTCGCCGTCCTCTCCGATGAAAATAAAGCAGGCCACTCGCGAGCAAGCTAAATGCTAAATACAGGCAGACTTCAGAGTGTACCGAAGCGGCGGACACCTGTCCTGATGTACGATCGGCGCCGCCCTGCTCACAGAGCTGCCGCCGACAGGCTGAGAAACTGTCCCTCCGGCCGCGGTCGCCGCCGCGCGGGGCGCACGGGGACTGCAGCTTGCGCGCCGGCCGGCAGGTGGCAGCCCCGGCGGCGGCTCACAGCTGCGGCCGCTTGGACTTGCGGACGAGTATCGAGCAGCAGGTGAGGCCCGCGTCGGCCTTGGCCAGCTCACTGATACACACCGGGTGCAGGTTGGTGCTGAGCCGGTCCTCAAATACCTGCAGGATATGACGAGCATTAAACATCACAAGACCGCTTTCACTCACACTATTAGTTGGCCGGTCACGGGTAGTCAGAATTGAATAGAAGTCACTAACGCGAGGGTAACCTGTTCTAACCCCAGCATAGACCGTAGGAGCGGCCCGGTGGCATGCCTCTCGAAATTGGGGCGGGCTGAGCCACGGCAGCACACCAACGCCAGTGCCCATCCGTCTCATCCCAATGCCTTCTCCATAACTTAACATACCCTTGTTCAACAATCACTGAAAGCTCATCTTGGCCAGCCCTAAGAGGCCTCTTCCTATCCCTCCTATCCGAAATAGACGCTCCGCTCAAGCAAATCCCCCTAAACCTGGTCTCCCCTGATGAGATTCGAACCCGTGTCTGCCGGTGGCGGCCACTCACGTCGCAGCTCTCGGGGCACTCGGAGCGTGCCCGATGGATGAGAGTGCCGTTGACGAGCACGCAGTTGGCGGCGGCCGGCTCCCGCACGGTCAGCGTCTGGTAGCGGAACGTCGCCTCGCGCTCGATCCTCTGCCGGACACATCGGCAACTGGTAGTTCACGGATCCAACACTAGGGGCGCAACTGATACTCTGCTGTCGAGTTCAGTAGTAGTGGCCAACTGCAGTAAACTGACTGCTGCGCACCTTCATCATGAATCTTTGTACGTCTCAGTGAGCATAGGCTTAATTTGAGAATACAAACGATACGCGATGGCTAATCTGAATCCCTATGAATCTAAAACAAATATAGATCATAACACATACCTACAGAACGAAAAATCCACCGTTAAACACACATGACATCCGGGCGGTGATCCCCGTCCGTGATGAGCGCCCCGGGCGCCCGGCCGGTACCTTGAGCACGGTCTGGGCGTCGTCCAGTTCCGACACGGCCAGGATATCTGGTCCGGCCATGGTGACCAGCGTCTTGAGGTGCAGAGTGCCCGCCGGCACGCGGATCGGCGTGCACGAAAACTCGGGAAACGCGGCCGCCACGGCCGCCGCGCCCGCCTCGTTGGTGCGCCCCGACAGGCCGACAAAGAACTCCCGGCCTGCGGGGACAGGGAGAGCAGCCGTGTCAGACGAGACAGGGGTGACTCGGACTGGTGAGGGAGCCTTAGATTCGCACGGACTGGGCGCACAGATGAATGCATTGTAAGCTGGGTCCGTTATACACAGAAGTGGCGAGGCGTACTTGCATTGGCGGAGAGCAGCCAGACGTAAAGGTACATGGGTGACGTCAGGGTCGTCAGTGTCGTGGACTGATCGCCAGTGTCTCGTAGCACCCATGGTGTAAATGCACTGACGGAGTACGCTGCAGTGCTAGCTTACTGATGACACTGGCGTTTATTCCAACAGACGGCGTACATATTTACTCAGTCGGCATTCCCACGGCCCTTTACGATAAATACAATAGCGCGAGCTTTCTCAGGTCGTTACCCCACACTCGCCAGTATGCACAGTATGTATGTAGATGATCCACAAACATCAACAAACAGCATCTCCAAACATACCACACTGCCGGCGCTGTATACTCGCGATAATAGACCCGTGAGAACAGCGCAGCGGTCGGCTAAAAAACGACCGGGCTCTCCCCACATACTGTGCACAGAGGACCGTGTATAGCGACCAATCCCTACACTCAATCTAATTAAGCTGTGATACCTATCAAATGGTGTTAGTTCAGAATTCATATCCTTCCCAAACCAAAACGTTATGTTCGGACGGCGAATGATGAGCTTAGCGCACGGTCCCTTCTTCCACCGCGGCACGATGAGCTCGCTGTCTGAGCAGCACCCTGCAGACATATCACATCTGACACGGAACCTCACGGTGACACGGCGTGCTTTATCAATACTCCGGGCCCGGACAGCCCTCCTGTGACCTGGCCGGCTCTCGGGCTACAGGAGCGCCAGGGGGTGGAATTTGAATCGGGCACCGTCACCGGCTCACGACAATGGTCGCTCTCGGGTACAATGCTCTGATTCACGAATGTTTCATAATAATATGCCGTGTTCGAATGGTCCTGCCGTCTGCTGTTACTGCTGGGATTATGTCTGTCCGATCAGTAGGTATCGACTATGGGAAGGGAGAGATGAACGCAGGGAGTGGCCAGTGACAATGGCAAACAACTTTATTTTCAATACATCCCTCAGGTGATGGCCGCTGGTGATTCAAGAAGGGACCGAAGTCTTTACTTTTGGCTTTAATTTGGGCAACAGAGCGGTGAGGAGGAGGGGGACGCAACGAACAGCCAGCGAGCGAGGCCATGTGTCGCACGCATGGCGTCGCAAGGTTTCGCCCAGCCCACACACCATCTGGACTAACATAACGTGTACCAGTTATAACAGCCAGAGTGCGAATCCAGAGACTGCCACCACATGGCCACCACCGCCGCCATGGTGACACGGCCACAAACCCCCGGTGGGGCGGGGAGGGAGGGGCGGGGGCGGCACGCCCATCGTACGCCGCCCCTCGGTCGGCCGTTCCGAGCCGGCGGCGCCGGCGGCTCGGAACGGCCGCCACTGAGGCGCCGCCCCGGTCCGACCGCCGCGCCCGCGTACCGTCGTCACCATGGGAGACTCGGCGGAGGGGCTCGAACTCTAACATCGGCAGTGCACGGTTAGCAGCAGCACACCCGCACTGGCCTGGCAATGGGGGCGGGCCCGAATGGAGACCGACGACCTCAGCTCATAGAGACGGGATCCACAAAAACGTCAACGAGGTAATCACAAGGGGTAAAAACGCTGCGGTCGGGACGGTACAGCTCAGGAGAGTGAGCCCAGCCACCCACGGCGGTAAATGGCTTTTACGTCGTCATCTGGACCATTACAAGTAGACCTTGGACATTTTATAACGAAAATCTCAGCGCATCGGGAGAGAAGTAATGAATCATTTTATCTCGGGAATGCACTGCATTGACAGTATTAACACTACTTTTTCTTTAATTCGTACACCAATTTACGTATACACCAACTTCGGACTTCGTTTCGCTGAAACCATTTCTTCCCATGCCTTCATGACCCCGATCTCACCACCCCAACATCGCCCTGGACAAACCAGAATCCACACTCCACCTGCAGGCCCCTGACGCCGCCTATGACGGGTCACACAGCCCACTTATCCAGCCCCTGACACTGCCTATGACGGGTCATCTACCCCACCCACCCAGGCCACTGAAACCGCCCCTGGCGCCGGTGATTGAATTAGCCGCCAGCCTGGGGGCGGGGGTGATGCGGCGGCATTCCGACCGCTCCCCGTACTGGGTCACGCAGCGCGACTAACAAACAGACTCTGTTCCGCTCCGATTGTCCGGGCGGAGAGGACAGCGCGCGACCGACCGCACAGCGGGGACGGACAGAGGGCCAGCCGGCCGGGCGGACAGCGACGGGAGGACATGGTAGTATTTGTAGAGATCACCGTCTGTTTCAGCCACGAATAATGTGGTTTATTCTGATATGGCTCACACTACGGAATCCCTACATCTTTTGTTTGATTATTTAATTTTTAGCCTTCCAGCCATCGCATGGCACCCGCAGCTGGTGTTCCCCTCCCGGCCATCAAAGTTGGCCGCTGCAACACGGTCCGAGGGCACGGTATGTGGAGGACGGAGCCGCCCCCGCCGCCACGCCGCGCCGGGTGGGCTCGCCGTCGCCCTGAGGACGGCCGGTGCATGTCGCACGCGACGGCTCCACACAGGCGGGACGGGAGGGCGGCGCCGCCGGGCGCCGGGTCCGTCTGTCTCGCGTGTCCAGTGTTCGATAGGGCGTAAACGACACCGACCGACCGGCGTGGTCCGTGGTCGGAACGGGATTACAAAGTCCACGGAAACATCCGAGGACCGAGAGGATTGAGGAAGGATTCATCAAACTCCATATACCAGTGGATATCATCCCATTCAAAGCGCAGCAGAATGCTAGTTGACAATGTCTATCAACTTCCCGGTGAAGCGGTACGATTGCCGTATTGTTTTTGACACTTATAAACTTAAACTAATTTAAATTTGATTTTACGCTTCCAAACAGCTGCAGTGGTTCAGGATTGAAGTTTGTACTTAATCTAAGAATTTGTTTACTGATAATTAAGGGACCGTGCTCGGTGGGTGAGTACAATCCACCGCCTGGCGCCATATTCAGTGAAAGTACAGCGTCATGAAGAGCGATGAGCGACCGCGTCTCTGACGCAGCCATTAGCGGGCGGGCGGGCGGACAGCCGTGATGGCCGCCCACGTCTGCAGATAAACACATCACCGCCCAGTGTGTGCCGCGCGCGCTGTCGTCGCCGTGTCGTTAGTCCTCTGTACACAGCCGGTGAGCTAATATACACACGGGCGGGCGGCCGCGCCGAGAGCCGCGGGCGCCGGCCGGAATCACGGTCCCGCGCCAGAATAGACCCGGTCACAGACGAGTACATCAGATAGCGGAAATGACTAGGGCGAGATGGCCGGCTGGCTTCCGTGGAACGCGATCGGTCCGGCTCATTCTGAATATGTTCTGGAATTTCCTCCCTGGAAGCTGGACTGATAACAACGTGATTTTGATATCTTCACTGTTCAATACCGCCCTAAATACCGAATGGTTGGAGGTTTGGCTGTGATGAGGTTCCGTGGTTTGCTTTCCCATGAGCGCAACGCGCGCCCTGGGGGGCCTTTTTACGTTCCTCCACTTTTTTCTGGAGAATACCTCAAACAAATTAATATACAAATAAAATAGAGACGGTACGCGCAAAGCAATGGAACAGAAAAAAAAGATATTGATTTATTCGACACCGAACAATACTAAAAGCAGCCTCATTTCACTCCTTTTTCATAAGTTTAGAGCGAAAGGGGTTCTCCCCAAACGCGCAGGTCTGTGACCCCGACCGTGTGTGGTCTGATCACAGTTCCACGCTCCGGGTTGAGCAGCCGTACTCTGGCCCGGCACAGCCAGCCCGGTCCACTCACCTGTGAACAGCACGTCCCCTCCGTCCAGCGTGGCCTTCGGGTCGAGCACCTCCACTATGGGCAGCTCGAGCTCCTTCTTAATAACGGCCCGGATCGCATCCACCTGGCGGCGGTTAGAGCAAACTCCACTTAGTGGGTCACCGGCAGGGCGCAGAGTTTCAGTCTGCATAAACTAATAGCACTACATGGACGGATACGAAGTTCGTTCGATCGATCGTTTGAGGCAAAGTAATTAACTATGTTGCGAAACAGAAAACTAGATGACACACCAAAATACTATGCATTCAGCACAAACCTCGTTCATAAAAGACCCCATCACACGTCCCTGGCGGGCCCACCCTCCCTGACGGGCCCACCCTTTCCCATCCCACTCGGCGGCGTCGCGCCTACCTCGCCGCGGCGGCTGGCGTGGCCGGGCCGGCAGAGCAGCGCTATGCCGTTGCAGACGACCGCACAATCCTCCACGAACACGCAGTCGGGGTGCTTCTCGTCTGCGGGCAGCTCGATGACGTCGACGTCCAGCTGGCGCAGCGAGCGCACGTACGCCTCGTGCTGGCGGCGCGCCTCGTCCAGGTTCACCGGCGCCGACAGGCCCACCGCCTCCTTGAACGCGTTGGGCACGCGGCACACGATGGCGTGCGTGTAGCGGCCGAACGTGGCCATGCCGGACTGGTGGCGCGCGCTGGAGGAGCACAGCGGACGCGGTGAGGTGGCACCCGGACGGAGGCACGCCGCGGCGCGAGCAGGCGCCGGGAACACGCGAGCACGACGGGACAAATGGCGGAGCAGCATAGTTGGGTGACTGGGGTGGATCGAGAACGAGATTTTTTTTAGTAGAAAGGGAAGAAATGATGAACTGAAAAAAATACTTATAGAATGGAGGCGATGACGAGTCGAGATAGGTGAAATATAGGCGATCGATAACGGCAGAGACCGGGCTACGAAAACAGTGTGCGTCTGTCACGAACTCGTGCCGGGGACTGAATGGGCCACGTGAGCGACCAGTCATGGTATTCCAGAGCCAGATAACAGATACGGGGGTAAAGTCCAACAGGGCGTCAGCCAGAACGCCGTAAACCGTGATGTCACTTTGGGAATCTAAACAATCAACTGAGGTGGGTGCCATGGGGAGACTACAATCAATGGTTCAGTGATGAATGTGACCCAGATGTGGCTGCTGCCCAATTGGAATTGTCAGAAAAGTAAAGACACTCAATTGAAGGTGTTCCGCCGCTACTGGCGTGGGCCGCTGGTCGTGCACATATCAGTCGGGGGAGGTTTGGTCAATCGTTGTCATTTTTAGCACATGTCATTTTTGACAGCCATGTGCCAAAAATGACAACACTATCAGCTATTTTTGGCAACGATGGAGCCGATTTAACTCTTCAGAGAGGAAATCACGATTTTTGAAATACAAGCACTAATTTTGGAAAAGAAGTGCTGCCACCTGGTGCAAGAAGAATAAACCAGCTTTAATATGGCCGTTGTTTGTATGGTAGTCCAACAATGAAGTATAACTACCTTTTTTGTGGCTTCAATTGGAACTTCAATTTGTAGCACCCGAAAATGATCAATATCGATCGATAACATAATTTTGATAAAAAAGAATATGCTAAGTTGAAAGAGGAGGCGATTTCATCCAGATGCGGTGGTTTATTTCTTGAAATTATTTTTGTTTATGACGACCGCCATGTAATGACGGATGATGCGCGGCCGTCAATCAGCAAAAATAATTTCAAGAAGTAAACTACCGCATCTGGATAAAATGACCTCCTCTCTCAACTTAACCTTTTTTTTTCTTCACCAACATAATGTTTTCGATCAATATCGATCATTTTCGGATGCTTCAATTTTAAGTTCCAGCATCAGGCCTGTTATGATTGCTTGTTGCAAGTGTTTTACGTCGTGTTTGGCGTTAGTGTTGGGCCATGTCTGTTTGTGTTGCTGATGGTTCGTCCTGTGTTGCAGGTATGCTTGCAAGTTTGTGTTGAATAAAGCCTGAGAAGGGTCTCTCTCATTCATATTCACTACAAGGCCACAAAACAAACTACCATACATACAACGGGCATATAAAAGCTGGCTTCTTCTTGGACCAGGTGGCAGCACTTCTTTTTGAGAATCAGTGTTTATCTTTCCAAAATTGTGACTTCCTCGCTGAGGAGTGAAATCGGCTTCATCGTAGTAAAAAATAGCAGAATCATCACCATTTTTGGCACGTGTGACAAAAAAAGCACGTGCTAAAAATGACAACGATTGACCAAACCTCTCCCGACTGATATGTGACATGACATGCAGGGGCGTCGTTTTGTATAGGCCTGGGAGTGCCCGAGCACTACCAAGTACCAATGTTCAGCTGAGCACTACCAATGTGTTGTTGAGCACTACCAACATTTTTCTTCACTTATTATAGGTACTATCGATGGTTTTAGAATGTCCAATGATTGGCTCTTGTGAATGTCCTTGCGTGGCCTAGCATTGTTCTGCAGGCATTAATGTATGTACCTACCTGGCCCAATGTATATGTACTGCTACTTGTTATAACTGTCACCTCACCTTGTCACCTCACATTGTGTGTGTGATGCAAATAAATGTGATGATGATGATGATGATGATGATGAGAAAATTGCATTCAAACATGTCATACAAATAAAATGAATGAGGTTCTTATGTATAAAATCAACATGATAGCAAGTAACTTCAATGGTAAGTGGTAACTATTGATGAAAATCTATAGACTTACTCCACAAGTAGATTGAATTTGAATTGGTTGACCAATTCAATCTTCTTGTAGCGTACCTAAGTCCATAAATTTCCATCAATACCTACACCTAGGTATCATTTTCACTTTCCACATCATGTCATTACGTCAAGTAATTTCAAGTTATGTGGTACCTACCTACCTACCTACCTACCAAGTTTCACAATAATTGACATGCCATGATGACGATGGAAGGGTGCACCGTGCAGCAGGCTCAAGAGCTTGAACTGCACACCTAATTTTTCATCCTACTTGGCACTTGGCACATGTCAACTATGCTTGAAATTCGATGCGAGCATCGATAGCAAGCCTAAACCCGGCAATTATTTTTCATTATTTTCACTCAAATCAGTCACAAGTTGAAGTTTGAGTTGGCGAACTGGACTAGGGATAAATGATAATCAATCAATGTAGGTAGGTACCTTACCTTGAGGATACTTGTTGAGCGGTTTGAACTTTAAAGAGGCTGAACGCGTCGAAGGTGTAGGAGGTAGAAACGACCGTAAATATAAAGGTATATATGAAACCAGTTCAATATATATTAATATCACATTCGTCCGCCAACCACCGCCCACCGATCCACAAACGAGCACAACGGGGATCGACGCACAATGCGCAACTGTTTCTAAACTGACGCATAATAATAATAATAATAATAAACGTTCGTATAATTGCATGCAGATTGATATCAATCTCGTACATGCAGATTCCGGACCCTTTCAAATCGCCTCAAAATTGGCATGTAGACCAAACAGGACACGCTGATCACGAATCTGAAGTCCGTTCCGCGGCACATATGAAACTTTTCCCGTAATTGACGAATTACGGATCTGCATGCAGATTCCGGACCCTTTCAAATCGCCTCAAAATCGGCATGTAGACCAAACAGGACACGCTGATCACGAATCTGAAGTCCGTTCCGCGGCACATCTGAAACTTTTCCCGTAATTGACAAATTACGGATCTGCATGCAGATTCCGGACTCTTTCAAAACGCCTCAAAATCGGCATGTAGACCAAACAGGACACGCTGATCACGAATCTGAAGTCCGTTCCGCGGCACATATGAAACTTTTCCGTAATTGACGAATTACGGATCTGCATGCCGATTCCGGACCCTTTCAAATCGCCTCAAAATCGGCATGTAGACCAAACAGGACACGCTGATCACGAATCTGAAGTCCGTTCCGCGGCACATCTGAAACTTTTCCCGTAATTGACAAATTACGGATCTGCATGCAGATTCCGGACCCTTTCAAAACGCCTCAAAATCGGCATGTAGACCAAACAGGACACGCTGATCACGAGTCCGAAGTCCGTTCCGCGGCACATATGAAACTTTTCCCGTAATTGACGAATTACGGATCGGCATGCAGATTCCGGACCCTTTCAAATCGCCTCAAAATCGGCATGTAGACCAAACAGGACACGCTGATGACAAATCCGAAGTCCGTTCCGAGGCACATATGAAACTTTTCCCGTAATTGACGAATTACGGATCTGCATGCAGATTCCGGACCCTTTCAAATCGCCTCAAAATCGGCATGTAGACCAAACAGGACACGGTGATCACGAATCCGAAGTCCGTTCCGCGGCACATCTGAAACTTTTCCTGTAATTGACAAATTACGGATCTGCATGCAGATTCCGGACCCTTTCAAATCGCCTCAAAATCGGCATGTAGACCAAACAGGACACGCTGATCACGAATCTGAAGTCCGTTCCGCGGCACATCTGAAACTTTTCCCGTAATTGACAAATTACGGATCTGCATGCAGATTCCGGACCCTTTCAAAACGCCTCAAAATCGGCATGTAGACCAAACAGGACACGCTGATCACGAATCTGAAGTCCGTTCCGCGGCACATATGAAACTTTTCCCGTAATTGACGAATTACGGATCTGCATGCAGATACCGGACCCTTTCAAATCGCCTCAAAATCGGAAACGGACGGACTTCGGAGTCGTGATCAGCGTGCCCTGTTTGGTCTACATGCCGATTTTGAGGCGTTTTGAAAGGGTCCGGAATCTGCATGCAGATCCGTAATTCGTCAATTACGGGAAAAGTTTCATATGTGCGCGGAACGGACTTCGGATTTGTGATCAGCGTGTCCTGTTTGGTCTACATGCCGATTTTGAGGCGCTTTGACAGGGTCCGGAATCTGCATGCAGATCCGTAATTTGTCAATTACGGGAAAACTTTCATATGTGCCGCGGAACGGATTTCAGATTCGTGATCAGCGTGTCCTGTTTGGTCTACATGCCGATTTTGAGGCGATTTGAAAGGGTCCGGAATCTGCATGCAGATCCGTAATTTGTCAATTACGGGAAAAGTTTCATATGTGCCGCGGAACGGACTTCAGATTCGTGATCAGCGTGTCCTGTTTGGTCTACATGCCAATTTTGAGGCAATTTGAAAGGGTCCGGAATCTGCATGCAGATCCGTAATTCGTCAATTACGGGAAAAGTTTCATATGTGCCGCGGAACGGACTTCGGATTCGTGATCAGCGTGTCCTGTTTGGTCTACATGCCGATTTTGAGGCGATTTGAAAGGGTCCGGAATCTGCATGCAGATCCGTAATTCGTCAATTACGGGAAAAGTTTCATATGTGCCGCGGAACGGACTTCAGATTCGTGATCAGCGTGTCCTGTTTGGTCTACATGCTGATTTTGAGGCGATTTGAAAGGGTCCGGAATCTGCATGCAGATCCGTAATTCGTCAATTACGGGAAAAGTTTCATATGTGCCGCGGAACGGACTTCGGATTCGTGATCAGCGTGTCCTGTTTGGTCTACATGCCGATTTTGAGGCGTTTTGAAAGAGTCCGGAATCTGCATGCAGATCCGTAATTTGTCAAATACGGGAAAAGTTTCAGATGTGCCGCGGAACGGACTTCAGATTCGTGATCAACTTGTCCTGTTTGGTCTACATGCTGATTTCGAGGCGATTTGAAAGGGTCCGGAATCTGCATGCAGATCCGTAATTTGTCAATTACGGGAAAAGTTTCATATGTGCCGCGGAACGGACTTCAGATTCGTGATCAGCGTGTCCGGTTTGGTCTACATGCTGATTTTGAGGCGATTTGAAAGGGTCCGGAATCTGCATGCAGATCCGTAATTCGTCAATTACGGGAAAAGTTTCATATGTGCCGCGGAACGGACTTCGGATTCGTGATCAGCGTGTCCTGTTTGGTCTACATGCCGATTTTGAGGCGATTTGAAAGGGTCCGGAATCTGCATGCAGATCCGTAATTCGTCAATTACGGGAAAAGTTTCATATGTGCCGCGGAACGGACTTCGGATTCGTGATCAGCGTGTCCTGTTTGGTCTACATGCCGATTTTGAGGCGTTTTGAAAGGGTCCGGAATCTGCATGCAGATCCGTAATTTGTCAAATACGGGAAAGGTTTTATATGTGCCGCGGAACGGACTTC